AATTTCAAAAATCCGAGATAGCAGTTTTGTAGCCCTGTTGATTCTACAGCTTTTATGTCTTTATCATTTTTCTGTATTTGCAAAGCTATAGGCCTGACAGCTCTTCCCGCGAAACCCTTTTTTGGGTCGAAAACGGCAGAACATGACGTCACTCTGACGTCATTTCTGGCCAACCTATCATAGCCTTTGGAAAAATTTTTGGTCACAATGTGCAAAATTGATGTCCGGGAGGGTACTGAAAGTTTGGTGACGATCAGTGCAGCGGTTCTGGAGATATATCGAAAAGTCTGAAGCGGGGGGCAAAAAATAGCCCCCCCCCCCACCAGGTCGCGGGTTAAGTACGTACCCCACCTTTGGGTTAAGTTGATCAATCAGTAATACCTTTCTTATTCTTTATCTAATGAGTATTTGTTACAAGGCATAACAAAATTTTTCGATGATTAAATGGGCGAAACGGACGAAGCTATATTATTTGGTATATGAATTTATCATTAGTTCCCTGTAGTATGGCAACAGAGCAGCAATAAAGAAAAAGTGGCTCAACTTACACTACTATACCCTACTTCTAGCTTACGTACTTTATACACTACGTACTTTGGCATACGAACCGTACGTACTTTTGGCATACGTACTTTTTACACTACGTACTTTTGCATACGAACTTTTGCGTACGAACATTTGCGAACGTACTTTTGGCATACGTACTTTATACACGACGTACTTTTGTATACGTACTTTTGCGTACGTACTTTTGGCATACGTACTTTATACACTACGTACTTTTGCATACGAACTTTTGCGTACGAACATTTGCGTACGTACTTTTGTCATACGTACATTTTACACTCCGTACTTTTGCATACGTATTTTTGCGTACGAACATTTGCGTACGTACTTTTGGCATACGTACTTTATGCACTACGTACTTTTTTATACGTACTTTTGCGTACGAACATTTGCGTACGTACTTTTGACATACGTACTTTATGCACTACGTACTTTTGCATACGTACTTTTGCGTACGAACATTTGCGTAGGGGAGAGTGGGGTAATTTGGCCGTTTTTTTTTTTTAGAAAACGATGTAACTAAAAATCGACAACACATTTCTGCATTTTCTCAACGCTGACAGGTGTGGCATACATTTTACTTTCGCTGACAGTAAACTTGAAATGATAGAGTAACTACTTATATTGAAATTGTGACGTATTACAAAGGTCTGCAAGGCGGCCAAATTGCCCCACTAGCAGGGTTATTTGGCCGGGGGTGTGGGGCAATTTGGCCGGTGTTAGTTTGAGGCCATGATTTTTGTTATAGGCGAGTCAGCTTCATATTCAGCAATGACGCGTGTCCTACGACGCATTTGAAGCATTTTGGAGGTTGACTCAGCCGTCACAGGGGTCGAAAATAGTCGAAATAGCGGCTCTAGATGCGATGACAGTTTTTTACGAATAGCTTTTGAAGTAATCAAGCTAGGCCAAAACTAAAAGTACCATCGTAATTCTCTCGTCATTCCGCATCGAAACATGTATGTGTTGACCTCGAGAGGTCAAGGTCAAAGGTTTGCTTCAGGTCACGTTACCTCAGGTCGCTTGACCTCAAGGTTGCGTGAGTTCAAGGTCATCATGTATATCATTCGATGCGCCTTGACGAGCTGAACACAGTGAGACCATTTGCGCGGCTGTATCTTTTTTCTGTAAGTATTTATTAGCAAAAAAGCGTTAGGTAAACTTTGATGACGTCACATGCCCTTACAGCTGTCCAATAGGAAATATGGCATCAAGGTAGTCAAAGTTGGTCATGAATTATGTCCTTTATGGTATAATTGACCATGATAACTCGGCCGTCCCAGCATAGTGACTCTGAGCGCACCGGCCAAGTTGCCCCGCTAGTCCCGGCCAAATAACCCCACATTGCCATTCTCAAAATGTTTGTCTATAAAGTCGTCATGGCTGTACAGAACTAGATGAAATTGCTCTTGGAACCGCTGAACACGCTCAAGAATGGCGCTATAATGTTGGAATTCGTTTACAGCCCAAATACTACATGTTATACAAATTTTTAAACGGAAGTGGAAGTTACCATTTTCTAACGAAATTCACGTTTTATTAATTTTGAATAAAACTAAGAGGGGGAAAGTTTTGACATTTGTTCTCGAGTTAGTTCTGCCGATGACAAATGAATTGAGACTAAAGTTATTTCATTCACTTTTATCAGCTTTCGTACAGGTGGGGGCGGCCAATTTACACCACCGGCCAAATTACCCCACTCTCCCCTACGTACTTTTGGCATACGAACTTTATCGCCTACGTATATTTGCGTACGAACATTTGCATACGTACTTTTGTCCTACGTACTTAAGCGATACGTACTTTAGTCCTAAAATCCCGAAAACCAGTTCTGGGCTGCCAACAGCAGCTCAGAGGCGCTGCACCGTCGAGACGGTGAAGCATCCACTGGGGATTCTCGTTTGGACCATGATGGGCTACAGAGGCCTCTGAGCTTCACCATGTGCCGCAGGGACAGACGACGTGGCCGCTGAAACTTGCCAGCGAGGTGCTGGAGACACTGACGCAACTACGATGCAATCAATTTCAGGATACAACTTACAAGTACAACATCCCGTAACAATTCGTGATACCCTGTACTCGTGACCGTGGAATGTGTTTGGGCTCAGGCACAGTGGAATGTATATGGTCAACCTCCTGTAGTCAACAAAAACGGTGGAATATATAATGGAAACTCAGGCATTTTGTAAAAGGCCTACTATGGACGTCAAACCCCTTGAGACCCCACTTTTTTGCGATTATTTTTAAATATGTCAACTCTCGTTGACGATATTCTGGCAATGTATGTTTCAGAACCTGCCGAAACTTTTATTACTAAGGTATTTTGACGCCAAACGATTATGAAAGGTACTTCTCATTCACTCGTAATGTTAAATTTCACGGAACCAATCTGCTGTTTGGGTAGAGGCTACGCGCTCATGGGGCGGAGCCACTTAATGACGTCAGCGCTAAGCTCCGCCCTACCCCTCCGGCGTTCCTTGCCCGGCGACCGGTCACTCGCGTCTCGCGCTCCATTCAGGCTTGATGGTGGGCGGTAGCTGGTAGCGGTAGCGGGCGCTGGTAGATGACATTAAGAGCAGATGGCACTGGTGGCGGGGCTCGAGTGTGGCCGAACGCAAGCCTCTGCCCGGGCCTAAATTGACCTTAGCATTACGAGTGAATGAGAAATACCTTTCATAATCGTTTGGCGTCAAAATACCTTAGTTATAAAAGTTTCGGCAGGTTCTGAAACACACATTGCCAGAATATCGTCAACGAGAGTTAACGCATTTAAAAATTATCGCAAAAAAAGTGAGGTCTCAAGGGGTTTGACGTCCATAGTAGGCAGTTTGCAAAATGCCTGGAGGATCAGGTAGTTCGCAAGCTGCCTAGGCAATTTGCAAAAAGACTGATAGGTCAGGCATTTACCTGTAACATATAGATTTACTGGCTTTTATTATGCTTCTTATTGAGGTATTTGGTGCGATGTACTTTACTTATCCCGCGCACCGACGGGGGTCTGCGCCAACTTCGCACCGACGGGGGGGGGGCGGATGACCGCCCCCCCCCCCTGAGATCTCGAGAACGAAGCAAGATAGCGACAAGCGGCAATTTATTTGTCTGCAATTTTGCTGTAGATTTTTTAACGTGTGGGTATTATTTTCATTGTACTCAGTTTTGTATTTTATGTTACGCTTTTTTGTGATTTACTGATTTTAGGCCTAAGACTTCGCCTTGAAGTGGATATTGCTCTGTTGGCAATCATGCAAATAAATAAATAAATAAATAAATAAATAAATAAATAAATAAAGATATAGACTATTTTCCATCAATTTTGAACATTGTGTGCGAGTGTGAACCTCCTACCTTTCAAGGTCAAGTCACCAGGTCACTTCGAATGACCCGACCTCAAGTCACTTCTTTGCAACTTCGTCACCGTGTCAGAGATACAGTAGATGACGGAGTCCTTTGAAAGTTGCAGGATGTAATTAAGTCATCCGGGTAGCTACAATTACTTTATTTCGGAATTTTGATATTGATGACTTAAGGTCAGGTTAATTTGTTCACCTCTCCATTATAAGTTAATGGGGGAAAATCAACTCCCTTATTTTTTTCACTAAATGACGCGTCGGAATGGCCTAATATACCATGAGCGACTTTTCTTATTGTGTACAGCTCGTCAAGCCGCATCGAATGATACCTATACATGATGACTTTGAGGTCACGTAACCTGAGGTCAACCTTTGACCTTGACCTTTCAACGTCAAAATTTATATGTTTCGATGCGGATCGGCGAAAAGATCAAGATTGTGCTCTTAGTTTGTTCCCAGCCTAGCTACTTCGAAAGTTATTCGAAAAGAACTTCATATCTAGCGCCGCTATTTTGACCCCTGTGACGTCATCTTTGACCTGACCTGGAAATTACCTCGGTAAAATTTGTAGACTTTGTCCGTATTTACCCCATGCCGTTTATCGCTTGTCGCGATCTTGTTTCGTTCTCGATATCTCGAGGAGGGCGGATATCCGCCCCCCACCCCGTCGATTGTAAGTTGGCGCAGACCCCCGTCGTTGCCCGGGTTAAGGGTCAAAACATACCTCTGCTACCAGATACAGACCTTGACCTAAGTACTTAATGATTCATGCAAAATAATCGATCAGGTATATCAGACATAGGTATGTACTAAGTATATATGTATTACAAACAAGGCGAAAATCAATAGGAGTAAAATGAAGCAACGTCCTTGGTCAAACGGTTCAATCGAGTCCCTGTTTAACGACCTGCTTCTAATGTCACACATAAGTTCTCGTGACATTGCACGAGCAATATTAATAATAATATAGTTTACACTGCCTACAGACAAAAAACATTCGTTGAAAGGAGACCTGATGTGTTTAGCTGGTCTTTGATATTCCACGTCAGATGACATGTTACGCGTCATCGGGTGGGCCAGACCTCACTCGCTGACGCCTTCCTGAGCCAGTTTGTGACACCAGGTCATGTAGTTGACCGGTCTCATCTTGAGCTCAACGTGCTTCAACGAATACCTATCGCCCTTCCACTGTTTCCAGGTCACTCCTGCCCAGCTGCTTTTCAGAGCGCCCTTCTTGTACGGTCCCGTGAGTGTCGAGTGCAGGCAAGACTTGTTCCACCAAGCGTGCTGGTAGTGTTGGGCGCAGTTCTTACTCCACTTGTCGTTATCGCGGTCTTTGGTAGTAAACGCCATGGTGTTGTAATAAGTCAGGGCGTCGCCGGCGTTCCCCTCGTACTTGCCGACCTTCAGTGCATACTTTTGCTGCTCGGAGCCGATGGAAAACGGCGTGTAACTGGCGGTGGCAGAGGCGTTCCCCCAGTCCTTCAGATCCACACGGAGCTGCATCTGCTCCATGCTGGTCAGCAGGCTCATGTACTCGTTGCCCAGCCAGAACTCGGCGCTGAGGTTGCCGAAGCCCCACTTGTAGCTGTCCCAGCCGAGGTCGAAGTCCTGGTGGTCGGGGAGGTCGGCGCGCCTCAGCAGCACGGTCCAGCCGCCGCCGTCCGTGTCCATGTCGCAGTAGACGCGGATGCCGCCGCCGTTGCCGCAGACGGGCGGGTAGATGGTGTAGACGCCGCTGCGCTGGTGGCGCTGCTGGACGGCCGCGCAGTCGGCCGGCCGCCAGCCGTCCGTCCGCTGGAACTGGTCCGGGAAGCTGCACCGCTCCACGATCACAGTCGTGGTGGCGGGGGAGGCGGCGGCGGGCCGGCCCTCCTGCAGCAGCGTCACCAGCCGCTGCTGCGTGTCGTTGAGTTGCGCCTGCAGCAGCTGCTCCGACTGGCGGATCTCCTGGCTGAGGGTGCTGACCAGCTGCGGGTCGGCGGGCGCCACCCGGGCCTCCTGCAGCAGCCCGCGCAGCTCGGCGGCGGCCTCGGTCAGCCGGCCGCTGCCCAGCTCCCTGTACAGCTGCAGCACGCTGTTATCCAGCTGGGCCAGCTGCGTGTCCACCGTGTGCGTCAGCGACTCCAGACGGGCGGCCAGCTGGATCAGACGCTCGTCCATCCTCTGTAGCCGGTCCGACAGAGCGGCCGACGACTCCGGGACCGCGCCGAGGCCGCTCTCCAGCGGGATGTCGTGCGCCCCGACCCGCTCAGCAGCCAAACCCTCGACCAGCAGGAGCCACGCCAGCAGCCACATCTTGAGCAGCCACCTCGTCCCGCTGCACTGCAAAGGCTGAGCCTACCGCTACTTCTGCGGCTGCATCAGTGCACTTGGCTTTTATACCAGCAGACTGTCCGTTACTGGAACTCTCGCGGGGTTCCCAGACTCCAACTGCGATCATATTCGTAGTACCGTAGTCCCGACCGGACTTCGCGCCTCTGCTGATAAACATTCGACCCCGGAGCGAGCGCAGAACTGTCGAATCTCAACACGCGGTCCGTGTGCCGCACCGCTGTGAGTTTGAAGTCCAGATGCCATTGAAATACGTCACGGCCATTCATGCTCGTAAAGGGAGGCCGGCCGCTGGTATTTCCAGTGGTTGTCGGAGCTGTCTGCAGACAGTGACGCTGGGAATACGAGACGCTGCGCAGCCCAGTCAGTCTGAAATCCCCGCGGCCATCGACGGGCAAACGCTGAAAACGTCACGGGCATTCAGTTTAATTCCTGGACACTGCCGACTGCGCGCTGGCGACTGCCGACTGCGTGGTCAATTTATTCCAGAAATCTACCCTATGCGTCTTCAATTTAAATGCCTCCAATGTACAGGGTGTCCCAAAAGTAAGGTCATCATTTGTTTTGGCCACACCGCTAAAAATACGCGATGGATAGAAATAAATAGGACATCATATGAAAGAGCATTTTATAACATTTTATTCTGATATACATATGAGTCAATACATTGGCTCGTAGCCCCACATTTGCTGCTTTTCTACATGGCTACCATTTCGGGCCGCGTGCACGAATAGACTGCGTTTTACTTCCTCCACTATTCTGGAGCGATTCTCTGGTGAGATGCCGCTTATGTTTGCTCGGAGGGATCATCCTTTAGTTCTTCCCGGCTCGTTGGGTTGTCCTAAAAGACAACCTTTCCGTTGTGTACCCAGAGAATAAAAATATGAAGGTGTAACTGCGTAACAGTTGTATCTGACTTTGGTTTCTCCTCATATGCAGGTTCGCCAGCCATTGAATGAGTGCTAATTGAGCTGGGCGGCTATTTGTTTGTTTCTTTGTTGCGCATTGAGCGACTGGAAGGAGTGACTGTGGAGACAGCACACTGTTGTCACTCGAGGTACCTGGAAAGAGTACGTTTCTATTTTTCTCTAGTCATTTCCGTTGTATCGTTCGTCGCGATTTGGCTTCACCATGTGTTAATAATTTTTTCGCGCTATCATTCTGTTACAAAGTACAAGCGTACTGGTTTCGATTATTTATCATGCGTTTACCAAAGTTTCGACTGAACGTTCGCCACATTTTCATGTGTCACATTTAACGCGAAGTGTGTATGTGAGTGTGAATGTGTGCGCTTTATTGCTGAGAGAGCATTATTTTAACCCATTTTCTCATGTGTGTGATTGACAGGTTTTTACGGTGACTGTGGTGTTACCAACCCAAGGTTCTCTGTCATTACCCCACATTACTGGATCCCAATACATGTGCCCTATCCCAATGCATCCAGTAGTTTGAGTTTGATTGACGGTGGTGGCGGAGGCCGCATCAGAAGGTGTAACGTCAGGTGACCGCGGAGGCCATTCAATGGCGTTGCCCTGACTGAAAATTACGCGATCTCACATCCACTCTCGGAGACAATGCATAATCTTCAGGACGGGGCAAGCATAGTATACATCCTGCTGAAACCACTGCTGGTTGATGGTGTCGGCACAGCTGCGTTGCGACGAGCGGAAGAACCACTGGGAGGACTCTCGGCCACCTCTCTTGATTTATTGTCACCCGATTCCTGCTGTCGTCCTCAGGACCTCGAAGCACAGGTGGCTAAGTATACATGCCCTGTACGTACATTATACCTTTTTTCTGACATTTTACCGATTGAGGCGAAACTATGCATGAGTTCAGAGATAGGGCGAGCTGATAGGGTCTGCTTAGGGCCGAAAACTGGGCGGTATTTACCCTTTGTTTTAATGACGGACCCTCTCTAAGAGTTGAATTTCGACCTTCTCAGTTTTATGCCTACTGCTCGGTGTAGTTATGATAAAAAATGGTTTAAGCATGCAAGAAAATAATTTTATGGATGTACCTTGCACGTGTTCAAAATTGGAAGTGATTCGGACTCTTACTTCTCGAGATATTTAAGTTTTAAATAATGACCTTACTTTTGGGACACCCTGTATAATAAATAATACTATGCCTATTTTATTTCGTCTCTCCATTCTCCAAGATACGTTGCGAGCTGGGTACCCGGTGGATGTACAGGGTGTCCGGAAAGTCCTGGTTGGTTGATAGATACTCAACAAAAGATAAAAACAATTATCAGGCACACCAAGCTACATACTTCCAAGGGCGGATCCAGGGGGGCTTACGGGGCCATGCCCCCTCCCCAAGGCGGGGGGGCATGTTTTGGCGGCTCATCCCCCCATGTTTTGGCCCCTCCCCCAAGACATAGTCAAGAAAAATAAATAAATATTCTCAAACTTCCTATGCTGAAAAACTGAAATATTGCTTTGATGATGCAATGACCTAGGGGAAAGCGTGAAAAAATATGCCAACCAGAGTTTGGCAGCCTGATCCGCGCGCAATGAAGCGTTTCATTCGAAACAAAATACGAATCATGGGCAGACCATGGCACGATTAGATGTATCCAATGCATGAGATTACGTCATTAGTTCATGACGCCGGAGCAGCCATAGCTGTGGAATGGGATGTCATCGGTCAAAACATTCTTGTTTCGATTTTCGAAAGTTGCGCTCACAATTGGTAGAAAAATGAACCACGTCATTGGTTTATGTTAACCCTCGCCGGCACAGGGTTGATGCAGCCCCCCCCCCCCCTCTACGGTTTTTTTCGCAAATAACTCGCGTATAAAGCGGCCGATCGCGACGAACCTTTCAGTACCCTCTGGATCATCAATTTTAAGGAAAAAAGTATTTTCAGCGTTTGCCATGGCCAAATGTGTGATTCTTGTCAGAAAACTGAGGGATGATCATAGCAACACTGAGGTAATCAACTTCAGCTTGAGAGATTTCAGAAGCTTCTTAATAGCTGAAGCTTCTTCATTAACCCTCGTCCGCACATGCCATTTTCCCATTCTAGAACGCACATGGGGGGGGGGGGGGTTGCCACCCTATCCTCCTACCGCGCCATTTCTTTCCTGTAGGAGATAGAGCTTCGCGGTAAGGACCAAAAAGATTCCTTAGGAGGAGACAAATCCAGTGATACCCAGTTTTACCTTCTCAGGTCAGTCATTGACCTTCCAGGTCATGTCAAACTAAAAAATGTTGCTGTTTTGGGTCACCGTTGGATGTCAAGTGCGCTGCTCATCATATACCGATGACGATGCCGTGTTGTGGCGTCAAGCCAGCTAGAACCTCTTTGTCGCACTATCCGACCAGGTTTTTGCTGCTGAGGTCATGTCAGGTCACGTAAGGTCAAGGTAAATGATACGTGTTTGTATGGCTGTGTGTGTCTGTGTGTATACTGATGTGTGTACCGATTGTTATGTGTCCGTATTACATGAGATCATGAAATGAGAAGGTTTTACCAAAAATACAGTCAAAGAAACTTCACGAAAAGTAAATTCAGCTTGCCTAAAACGCAATGATTTTAGATGACCAAGGTTGACCTTGACCCTGACCTTGACATATGCACATCGTCGAACAACATGTTCCATGATAGGTGAGAGGTAAAACTGGCAAAAAGGCCGAAATCAAGGTGTCAAAAGCTCACAAGATCGATAGCCAACGCAAGATATTAGGTATTTGTCATTTGGGTCATGACATGATCTGAAGAACAAGGTCATATCTCCAAAGCCAAAAGTAACAGAAACTTGAAATTTTCAGTGGACAATGACATCAAAAAAGGATAGAAGAGTAGCTATACGAAAAATCAGACTTCTAGCTCTAAAAATGTTGAGTGCAAAGCAGAAAAACTACCTGGGGGGGGTGGCAACCACCCCCCCCCCATTATGCGGTCGAGGGTTAACACTATTAGCCAGGGGGGAATTTCAAGTTCAGGAGTGTTCTTGTTTCATGTCTGAATGTATATGGATTTAACCCTGGCCGGTATTGGCGTTTTGCCAGCCGCGAACGTTAAGGGGAAGGGATTCGTTGGACCCCGCCCCTCGCAGTTTGGCCGCTGATCGAGCTAGAGCTTCGCGGACAACACGAGCGTGCTGCCCATGACGAGAGGAAGACGATGATACCCAGTTTAAGGTTCTAGGTCATTGGTTGACCTAGAAGCTTAAATTGACCTGTTAGATTGACCTGTCAGGTCAATGACCCCAAAATCCGGACAATTGGGACCTGTTAGAGCGAAGTAACTGTGGCTAAGCTTTTCCGGGGTGCTGATCACGAATATCGTGTTAGTTTTGATCCCAGAAGATGTCTTCATGCATTAAGGTCAGGTCGGGTCGGGTCAACCAGTAGTGGTCCTGCCGGGTATTCGCAGTACGTGTCAACCGCCTCTGACAGCTCCGTAACATGTTATGAAGGCAGCAAAAGCACTTCGTACATGTTCAAAAGGCTGCTAATTTCTATTTCAGCTCCAAAAACTAGCCTAGAAACATGCAAAACTCGAAAAAGTGGTCTGAGGTCATCAAAAAACAATGCCTGACCTGACCTTCAGGTGACCTTGACAACCATCCAAATGCATGGGACCAACATCATATCACATGTTTCAGCGCTTGAAACCACGAAAAGACAGCAAACGCGCGGCTAATGCGTGCCAACATACGCCGAATCGCGATTCCGGCCAAACATGGTCTCGAGAAATAGATTACAGGTCAAAGGTCACTTGGGTCAGGGTAATTAAATTTTTACGGTAGATGTAAAATGGACTACCTCGTGGGTACTTAAAGTTTCGTCGCAATTAACCACTTTTTATGCGTTAATCGCGAAAAACCGAGGGGTCTGTTCGACCCTTCCTCCCTACACGGGCGAGGGAAGACACAACAGACACACAGAGGAAGACACAATTTCGCCTTACCGGTACCTGTTTTTGAAGTGTGTTTTAAGCGTCATTTTGAG